GAAGGCCTGATTCACACAGTCTCTTCTGAACAGTTGATGTTGAGATGTGTCTGTTACTTGAACTCTGTGAAGCATTTATTTGGTCTGCAATTTCTGAGGCTGGTAACTCTAATGAACTTATCCTCTGCAGCAGAGGTAACTCTGGGTTTTCCATTCCTGTGGCGGTCTTCATGAGAGCACGTTTCATCATAGCGCTTGATGGTTTTTGCGACTGCACTTGAAGAAACGTTCAAAGTTCTTGAAATTTTCCATATTGACTGACCTTCATGTCTTAAAGTAGTGATGGACTGTTGTTTGTCTTTGCTTATTTGAGCTGTTGTTGCCATAATATGGACTTGGTCTTGTACCAAATAGGGCTATCTTCTGTATACCCCCCCCCCCCCCCCCCCCCCCCCCCCCCTTGTCACAACACAGCTGATTGTCTCAAACGCATTAAGAAGGAAAGAAATTTCACAAATGAACTTTTAAGAAGGCACACCTGTTAATTGAAATGCATTCCAGGTCACTACCTCATGAAGCTAGTTGAGTGAATGCCAAGAGTGTGCAAAGCTGTCATCAAAGCAAAGGGTGGCTATTTGAAGAATCTCAAATATAAAATATATACTTTTTTGGTTACTACATGATTCCATTTGTGTTATTTCATAGTTTTGATGTCTTCACTATTATTCTACAATGTAAAAAATTGTAAAAATAAAGAAAAACCCTTGAATGAGTAGGTGTGTCCAAACTTCTGACTTCTGTAGTTCCACAGCATTTTTTAGGTAAGATGCCCAAATAATAATTTCTAGGTGAATGAAACAAGTTGAACAAACACATGATTTTAAATTGACTGAATTTTTGCCTACGTTTTCTAAAGTTGGAGCTTGTGCCAACTATATTTTTTTGTTCAGGTAACACTTGGACTGAAAAGTTTAGTAAACAAAAATGAAAAGTTGTGGAACCAGTTACTTAATAATAATTAGTTGAAACAACTAGATTATTTTTTACAGTGATGAGCTATTATCTTAGTCCCAGTCACTTTGTCATTTAATTGTTATTTCATTATTTAAGTGGGTCACAACAGGGGACAGAGTCATGTCCCTGTCAGTTGGCCAATTACTTCTACAAATATAATAACCTTGCTCTGTGGGACGTACTTATGAACTGTCAGGAGAGGAGGACTCCATGGCATGTGCACCATCACCCATAGAGATAAAACATTTAGAACGGGAATTAGAACAGGAATTCCCATTCAAGTCAATGTGGGTGATGGGTGAAGGGGTATGAGGCATAGAAATATAATCTAGTTCTGTGGTCTGAGGGGCTATGCCCGTTCTAGTAATTCTAGTTCTATGTGTGCACCATCACCAACCATTCCACTTGACTTACTGGTGTACACAGCTAGCTTCAGTATTGGCTGTACCAGAGCCTTATATTTTGAATACAAGCCAAATATAAGGCTCTGGGCAATGCCTGGCAGCATTTGCTTCAGACTGGATGGGTGCCTGGATGGATGGGTGGGAGGGAGGGTGGGTGGATGGATGGGTGGGAGGGTGGGTGGGTGGATGGATGGGTGGTTGGATATACTGGATAACTTTTACCTGGCTTGACATTTTACTGTACAACAAATGTTTGTTTAAGTTTTTATTCCTCATATTCTGCTGACCTTCTCTAGATCGTCTTTATAATGTCAGCCCAGTTATTATAACGTTTATGACTGAAGGGCCAGTAGCTCCTCTCCCCCACTTAAATCGGTATGTGGTTAGTCAATGAAAGTATCTTATAATAACACGTTTTTAACAAGGGAACCAGGGGGGAAATCAATGTTAAAGGCACAATACAGCTGTTTTTATCTCAATATCAAATCATTTCTGGGTAACAATGAAGTACCTTACTGTGATTGTTTTCAATTAAAATGGTCAACATTTTTGCTAGAACGGAAAGTGGACAAAATGCGCTTGTATGAAATGAGACACTCCGTGGTCCTCTGTAGCTCAGCTGGTAGAGCACGGCGCTTGTAACGCCAAGGTAGTGGGTTCGATCCCCGGGACCACCCATACACAAAAAAATAATAATTTATGCACGCATGACTGTAAGTCGCTTTGGATAAAAGCGTCTGCTAAATGGCATATTATTATTATTATTATTCTCCACACCTTATCTAGGTAGAATAGCTGCTGCCGCTGCAAAAGCTAATGGGGATCCAAATAAACAAATAGCTAATGGGGATCCAAATAAACAAATAGCTAATGGGGATCCAAATAAACAAAAAGCTAATGGGGATCCAAATAAACAAATAGCTAATGGGGATCCAAATAAACAAATAGCTAATGGGGATCCAAATAAACAAATAGCTAATGGGGATCCAAATAAACAAAAAGCTAATGGGGATCCAAATAAACAAAAAGCTAATGGGGATCCAAATAAACAAATAGCTAATGGGGATCCAAATAAACAAATAGCTAATGGGGATCCAAATAAACACATAAACACTCACACGTCATCAGGTAAATTCCATTTACAGGCGGATCCCAAAATAAATGTGTAAAGTAATAAAAACTAATTAAGTTAGTTGTGCAAGTTGTGGGTCCCGTGTGGCTCAGTTGGTAGAGCATGGCACTTGAAATGCCAGGGTTGTGGGTTCGATTCCCATGGGAGACCAGTATGAAAATGTATGCACTTACTACTGTAAGTTGCTCTGGATAAGTGGTGGTCCTCTGTAGCTCAGCTGGTAGAGCACAGCGCTTGTAACGCCAAGGTAGTGGGTTCGATCCCCGGGACCACCCATACACAAAAATGTATGCACGCATGACTGTAAGTCGCTTTGGATAAAAGTGTCTGCTAAATGGCATATTATTTATTCATAAGACTGTCTGCTAAATGACTAAAATGTAAAAATACAAGACAACCAACTTAATTAGTGAGGGTCGTTTTTAATATTGCACTATTGTAATGATTTTAAATCCATGACGGGGAGTGTGCAAAGTGGGAAAAGACTCAGGATGCAGCCTGCGTTCCTTCCCATCTAACCAGATGGGATGTTTGCTCTAGATGCTGCTAGCCATTAATCGGAAACTGCATTCAGACGAATGACTAGGCTACTCTTTTTAAGGCCCAATCCAGCCTTTTTTATATTAATTTCAAATCATTTCTGGGTAACAATTAAGTACATTACTGTAATAGATTTCCATTAAAATGGGCAAGAATAGTTTTTTAGCAAAAATACGATTTCTCAAGCAAAAAATGTGCTAGGACTGAGTGGTATGAGTCGGGAGGGTGAAACTGAAAACTAGCTGTTATTGGCTAGGTTTGGAACTATTTTTGTTATTGGTCTAGTAACCAATTTACTGCATGGTGATGTCACCATGGAAAGCCGAAACTCCCGCTCATGCAAACCTGCTGATTAGAAGGTCCTGTGTAGATTGTATTTTCAACTAGCAACTATCATGAAATAACACTGATAAAAAATAACACTGATCAAATTTGTTCACACTTTTAAGTGTTAGTTTTATCAGCTGTTGTACAATATGATATAAAACACAGGAAAAACAGAGTTTTGGCTGCACTGGGCCTTTAACTTCAGCCATTTTAGATGTGTGAAAATAGATACATACATAACTGTTTAAATGTTTCTACAACGCTCAACATCCCTATTCCTCAAGAGTCAGTCTGTTGAAAGGGCAATGTTTGCCGTAGGTGCTGCAGTAGGGCCTGTATTGATTGAGTTCACTGAGAGTCTGTCTCTGCATCCCAAATGGCAACCTATTCCCTATATAGTGCACTGCTTTTGACCAGAGCCCTATGGGTCCTAGTCAAAAGTCATGCACTATAAAGGGAATAGGCCGCCAATTTGAGATACATTCTGTGTGGACAGTAGGCTTTGAATGGGTCACCTCCCATTCACCTGCCTGCATTTCAAATCTCTGTGCACCCCTGCCAATGTTGCTGGGTCCTAATAGACTCATTCGGGCCAATAGGCCAGCATCAAGATGAGTGCCTGCATTGATCTACTAATGATTCCTTGATATGAATCATTTTAGCACTAATGATTCCTAGGCCTGAATCATTTTACCACGTGATCTACTAATGATTCCTTGATATGAATCATTTTAGCACTAATGATTCCTAGGCCTGAATCATTTTACCACGAATGATTCCTAGAAATGAATAATTTTAGCACGAATGATTCCTAGCCATGAATCATTTGAGCACTAATGATTCCTAGCCATGAATCATTTTACCTATAATGATTACTAGACATTAATCATTTTTGCACTAATGATTCCTAGACATGCATAATTTTAGCACTAATGATTCCTAGACATTAATAATTTGAGCACTAATGATTCCTAGACATTAATAATTTTAGCACGAATGATTCCTAGACATGAATCATTTTAGCACTAACGATTCCTAGACATGCATAATGTTAGCACTAATGATTCCTAGACATGAATCATTTTAGCACTAATGATTCCTAGACATGAATCATTTTAGTACTAATGATTCCTAGACATTAATAATTTTAGCACTAATGATTCCTAGACATGAATCATTTTAGCACTAATGATTCCTAGACATTAATCATTTTAGCATTGATGAGGAGTAATATAGCAATCTCGACATTTAGCTACAGTACTGACGTTTTCAGCACTTATTTTAAGAAGGAAGTTAGCCAACATTTACTAAGGTGGAAATCGTGGAAGAGGAGGACGATACTCTATTTAATAATCAGTAGGTCATTCAAAGTTGCTTTCCTACAGTTTCAAAGTCTACAATAAGTGGGAGGATTGTGATGTTGAGTTAAGGTCCCACAACCTGTGTGGACCCACCCATTGTCTTTTTACTGAGTGTGCCAGACAGACATACACCAAACCAGTAGCTTTGGAGAGACATTGAGGGCTATCAATAATCCAATATTGTTTTTTTCCCAAAATATTTTGAATTCAGACGCACATCACAGAACATTGACTTGAATAGAAATATCTGTTCTAGTAATTCTGATTCTACCCCTCTGTCTCATGCAGGGAGAGCTGCTGAGCCCGTGTCGTTGTAAGGGCTCTGTGCGCTGCACCCACCAGCCCTGCCTCATCCGCTGGATCAGCGAGAGAGGCTCCTGGAGCTGTGAGCTGTGTTACTTCAAGTACCATGTTCTGGCCATCAGCACCAAGAACCCACTGCAGGTACATCTCCTCAGTCCGTCCAACCCCTCATTCTCTCGCTAGAATGAGACCCTAGCTCCTAGGTACTTCATGCAGTACAATATGGTAGTAGCACCACCTTTCCCACTGCATGATTTTCAACATATTGCTCATACCTATCCTTTCAGATCTACACAAGTGTCTAGGGTGTAGGGGCTAGGGGTCTCTCATCCACTCCAGTCGTATGTGCATTGTGCACTAGGTCTACTCTCATCTTCCAAATGAATGGATATTTTTCTAGTAGCTACAGATTTTATCTCACAGTTTTCTGCTGATGCATTGATTTTAAACAATGCACAATACCGCAATCAGGAGTATGCAGTGCTCTGCTCTGGTGCACGAGTCTAGGCGTTACAGATACTCACTTTGGTAGAACAAATCTTGGGCACTCGCAATGATGAAGGTGTGAGGACTGGACTTCACCATATTGTCCCTTACCGTTCCTTTCTTACTGTCCCTTTCTTGGCCCTCGTGTTTGTTCTGTTCAGTGGCAGGCCATCTCCCTGACGGTGATTGAGAAGGTCCAGATCGCTGCCATCATCCTGGGCTCCCTGTTCCTCATCGCCAGCATCTCCTGGCTCATCTGGTCCTCCCTCAGCCCCTCGGCCAAGTGGCAGCGCCAGGACCTGCTCTTCCAGATCTGCTACGGCATGTATGGCTTTATGGACATTGTGTGCATAGGTGAGGAGGATGAATCATATGAAACTGGACCGTTGGCACAGTCACACAAGTTCTCATGCACAGGCACCTGCACACACACACACATGCACGCAGGCACGCAGGCTGGCAGACAGGCAGGCAGGCAGGCAGGCATGCACACAAATGCACACGCCCAGACACACACACACGTAAAGCTTTGTAGATAGATTTGTTTTGTGTGAAATGGTGCATTGCCAACCTGAAAACAGATGGTACTAGCTACGTATCTGCACGGTGTGATTATGCCAAATGCCAGTTATATACTAGTGCTATTGTAGTTGGCTGATTCTTACTTATTAGTTGCTGAAAGTATTTAATGCAAAAGCCTTTAAAACCATTGGATATCTTGCCTTTTCCCGTATCTGTAAAAAAAAACATCTCTCTCTCCCCAGGCCTTATAATCCACGAGGGCTCATCAGTGTACCGAATATTCAAGCGCTGGCAGGCCGTCAATCAGCAGTGGAAAGTATTGAACTATATAAAAGCCAATGACTTGGGGGACCCGCTGAGTAGCAGTAAGGGTGGGGGTCGGGGCTCACGGAGTAACTCCCATGGCCTGGGTAGTGGCGGCAGTGGGAGACGGAACCGGAGGTTCAGGACTATTCTAGACCACCACTGTGGCTACACCATCCTGCACATCCTCAGCCAGCTACGGCCCCACAACCCACGCTTTGGCTCCACAGCCAACCGGGAGGTGGTGATGAGGGTGACAACGGTATGAGACTGAACGTGGAAGGGCTGGAAGAAAAGACTAAAGCTGGGTATCCTGTTTTCTTTTTTAATCTGGTCGGTTCTTTCAAGTGATTCTGTCAACACCATTGAGGAACTGGATTTCGATACCCAGCCCAGGGAAGGACATGTACAGACAAGACAATGTCTGGCACTGCAGTCAAGCTACTATGATATTGTAACGACCTTTGCCTTGGTAGGCTCATTATGATCCCTCCCAAGTGGGTTAATCCTACTGGAGCAGTGGTTAGCGAGTTTACCTAAGGGCTGGGCGACCCGGGTTCGCGACAATATGTTGGATGTTTGGGAATGCCCTGAAACAACAATATACTGAACTATGAGGATCTTTCCAGGAGTTTGTTTAGAGATGCACATTTGTAATAATTGAAAAACTGATATTATGAACAACGTAAAACATGCAAGGCTTTATAACAACGTAATCCAAGGTGACAACAGATATTTTTCGGCCCGATTTCAGGATGCACAAATAAATAAATGTTTGTTTTAGTTTTATTTTCTCCTGCGTTTTTTTGGTATGATTTCTTTTTTACTCATTTAGAATTTTTTAAAGGGAGTATGATTTAAGGAGATACCTGAAACTCCTTATGCCACGCCAAGCATTTTCAAACAACTGAATAATTCTTATTTATCGAGTTTTGCAGTACTGAAATATTGCTGTAGCTAACAATGATTAGGCTACAGACCGGAGGACAACGAACACATCATATCTAAGATATCATATGAAAACAGCAGTTATTACTGCAAACAATAAATACAGGGATCAAGGGATATACTACAAAATGAAAATAATGAATTTAGTAACATTCAAATGACTCCTAGTCCTATCTTCTCTGCAATAAAGATATCTGTACATTTCACGGTGAATTTTGCATGGGTATATAATTTTTTATGCAGCATCATCATCATGTAACATTTAAGCACTTCTACAAATTTGCTCTATTCAGAATGGTGCTTATTCAGAAAAGCTTTTATTCATCTGGTTTCATTGCACCAAACTGTTTTTTGAATCTGTCAAATGGCAGTGTGTTATTTCAGCTAAAACAGAGATGACTAACTCGCTGCTGTGTGCTGACGATTCAGATTTGATAAAAAGTAAAGCGTTGGATTAAAGATGGAGATCTATGTAATCTCTTGCTATTCACTATTTCACTCCTGTGTCATTGTTTTTTATTTTTATTTACTTACACAGTATGAAATGAGTGGCTCATTCATCTGATTATTAACATTGCCCTCTTGCAAGTTGTATCTTGCTTCATGTTGTAAATACAATTACATATAGGTAGGTCATTTATGGAGATTAGAAGTTCTGTCATAGGCCCATTATTACATTAGAGGTTCTGTCATAGGCCCATTATTACATTAGAAGTTCTGTCATAGGCCCATTATTACATTAGATGTTCTGTCATATACCCATTATTACATTATAAGTTTTGTCATAGGCCCATTATTACATTAGAAGTTCTGTCATAGGCCCATTATTACATTAGATGTTCTGTCATAGACCCATTATTACATTAGATGTTCTGTCATAGACCCATTATTACATTAGATGTTCTGTCATAGGCCCATTATTACATTAGATGTTCTGTCATAGGCCCATTATTACATTAGATGTTCTGTCATAGGCCCATTATTACATTAGATGTTCTGTCATAGGCCCACTATTACATTAGCAGTTCTGTCATAGGCCCATTATTACATTAGATGTTCTGTCATAGGCCCATTATTACATTAGATGTTCTGTCATAGGCCCATTATTACATTAGATGTTCTGTCATAGGCCCATTATTACATTAGATGTTCTGTCATAGGCCCATTATTACATTAGAGGTTCTGTCATAGGCCCATTATTACATTAGATGTTCTGTCATAGGCCCATTATTACATTAGAGGTTCTGTCATAGGCCCATTATTACTATGTAATATGGTATGATCTCTGCACTCTGCATACTGAGGAAAGGACAAGTTGTGTTTTGGCTATTTGTCGCCACCTAGATACCTTACCACCTAATTGTCTCTTCATAATGTAGTCTAATTCAGGTGTATGGCCTAATCATTCTGATAGATGGCGGCCCAATGCCATACATTCATTGTTGACTACCTCAACGTCTCTAGTCCTACGGTTTATGTCTATAAGGGATACAGCTTTTGTCAAAATTGACTTTTCGTAGCAGGTTTAGGAAAATTTAAGCAGCAGGTTAGGAGAATTAACGTAGCAGGTTAGGATAATTAGGTTAAGGTTAGGAAAAGGGTTAGGGTTAAGGTTAGCTAAAACGCTAAAAATATTAAACTTTTGACGTCAAATTTGACAAAAGCTGTATCCATCCTAAACATGACCTAGTCCTAAGGCTCGGACAAAGCCAGCCAGGTAGCCCGGCCACAGGACAGCTCCTATCCCAACCTTGGACGCATCCACCTCTACTACGAACGGTAGTGATGAATCGGGGTGGGCCAGTACTGGGGCTGAGGTGAACAGACCCCGCAGTTTGCTAAAGGCCAGGTCAGCCTCAGCAGACCAGCGGAGCCGGGACGGCCCACCCTTCAACAGGGAGGTAAAGGGAGCTGCGACCTTGCCAAAGCCCTGAATAAACCTCCGATAATAGTTGGCAAAGCCAAGGAAGCGCTGCACCTCCTTAACCGTGGTTGGATTCGGCCAATTACGCACGGCTGAAATGCGATCTCCCTCCATCTCCACACCTGAGGTGGAAATGTGATATCCAAGGAAGGAGACGGATCTGCTGGAAAAACATACACTTCTCAACCTTAGCATGAAGGTCATTTTCCAACGGTCGGGCCAGCACCTTGCGAACCAGGGACACATGCTCGGCGCGCGTAGCGGAATACACCAGGATGTCATCGATGTAGAGCACCACACCGCGACCAAGCATGTCCCGAAACCCCTCGTTCACAAAGGACTGGAAAACTGAGGGAGCATTCATCAAACCGTAAGGCATCACCAGGTATTCATAATACCCCGTGGTTGTGCTGAATGCTGTCTTCCACTCGTCTCCCTCTCAGATACGCACCAGGTTGTACGCACTCCTGAGATCTAGTTTAGTGATGAAGCGCGCCCCATGCATTGATTCAATCACTGAAGGAATGAGGGGGAGAAGATAACTAAATCTTATCGTCTCCCTGTTCAGTGGTCGATAATCAATGCAAGGGCGCAGACCTCCGTCCTTCTTCTTCACAAAGAAGAAACTCGAGGAGGCGGGTGAAGTGGAGGGACGTATATACCCCTGGCACAGGGACTCGGTGACATATATTTCCATAGCCACCGTTTCAGCCTGTGACAGGGGGTATATATGACTCCTGGGAGGTACAGCGTCTACCCGGAGGTTTATCGCGCAATCTCCCGCCCGATGAGGTGGTAATTTAGTAGCCTGCGTTTTAGAGAACGCTTGCGCCAGATCTAGGTATTCGGGGGGGATGCGCACAGTGGAGGTACTGTCTGGACTTTCCACTGTGGCTGCACCAACGGAAACACCTAGACAGCTACCCTGACACTCTCGCGACCACCCCGTGAGAACCCTCTGCGGCCATGAAAAGGTGGGGTTGTGGAGTGCTAGCCAAGGGATACCTAATACCACAGGGAAAGCAGGAGACTCAATAATGGAAAACATCACCTGCTCACAATGATTCTCCTGGGTAATCATGGTGACTGGTGCAGTGACTTCCTTAACCAACCCGGACCCTAATGGTCGACTATCAAGTGCTCTGATGAGGCGTGGAATGGATAGGGGAATCAACGGAATGCCTATACGGTGTGCGAATGCCCTGTCCATAAAGTTCCCAGCTGCGCCTGAATCGACTAGCGCCTTACACTGGGGAACATCAATGTGCTCAGGAAAGGAGACAAGTATTTTACAGTGCGCAGCAGAGGGTTCTGAACGAGTGTGGGTGTTCGATACCTGGGGTGATGCGTGAGTGCCCTGCCTGCCGCCTCCTTGACCAAAAGAACGTTGACTACGACGTGTGGTGGATTGTCCATTCCTGCCACCAGAGTGGCACTGTCGCTGTCCTCCTCCGCTCTCACGGCCGGCGGCTCCACCCAGCTCCATCGGCTCGAGGTCCGAGTCTTCCAGGTTGGAAACGGGCAGACCCCTACCAGGACGTCCTCTGGCTGCCAGCAGGTTGTCCAACCGAATGGCCATGTCCACCAGTTTATCGAAGGACAACATGGTGTCCCGGCAGGCTAGCTCCCGTCGGACGTCCTCCCGCAGATGGCACCGGAAATGGTCGATCAGGGCCCGCTCGTTCCACCCGGATCCCGCTGCCAGCGTCCGGAACTCCAACGCAAAGTCCTGCGCGGTCCTCGTCCCCTGCCTCAGGTGGACCAGTCGCTCACCCGCCACTCGACCCTCGGGCGGGTGGTCGAATACCGCCCGAAAGAGGCGAGCGAACTCCCTGTAGTCCTCCAACGCAGCTCCTCCTTCATTTCACACCGCGCTGGCCCACTCCAGGGCTTTCCCACAGAGGCAGGAAATGAGGACGGACACCTTCTCCCGCTCCGATGGTGCCGGCCTGATGCTGGCGAAGTAAAGCTCCAATTGGAGGAGGAATCCCTGGCACAGCGCCGCTGTCACCTCAAACGCCCGTGGTCAGGATATCTGGATCCCTCCTGGTGCTGGGATGTAGGTGGCTGGATCCGGTTGGCCAGCTGGTCTTGACAGATCGGGTCTGTTCCTCTCCAGGCGTTGGACTACCTGAAGAACCCGATCCATCGCTTCCCCCATGCTGTCCAGCATCGTGGAGTGCTCCTGGACCCGTGCCACGACTCCAGGCATGCGTTCTTCTCCCGCTGACTCCATAACGGGTGGGTGATTCTGTGATGCGTGTGATAGAAGGAGTCAGGGGCAGGAGAGTAATACCCATCCAAAGAGTTTATTCCGTCGATAAACAGTTACGCAAGCATGCGAAAACAAAACTCAGGCACAGAAATATCTACCCTGGCAAACAACAAGGTAAGGG